ATCACACGCAGTCGTGCTCACCCAATCCGCGGCCACACAGCCAGTTACCCCTGCCCAACCCGTCAGCCATCACAGCCCAACAATCGCGCGCGCGCGACGGCACACACCTGGGCTCTGCCACCCCGAAGGCGCTCCGACGAACAAGTCACATCTACGGAGACGCGGCCGGGCAGCTCCGCCTCCCCACACACCCACTCCTGGGTGCGCCACAGCCGCAGGGACGGGGGACGGGGCCCGCCCGCACCCTCGTCGCTCCCACGCGCGCCTCCGTCTGGGACACTGCCCGGCCCTGACGCGCCCACGCTCACCCGCACTTACTCCCCGCCGCTGCTGCCCCCGCAGCCGCAGGCCAGGCTCCGCTTCAGGTCTCCTCGCTCGGAGCAGTTCCCTCACCGACACCCGGCGCCCCATCCCGCGCTGATTCCCTCCTGGGACGCTCACGACTCACCGCTCGGGGAACAGCGATCCACAGGGTGTCGGAAGGGGGCACAAAGGCTGAGGCTCGCTCGGGATGGCGCCGGGCGGAAACCAGAGCCTGAAGAAACTGCGCGGGAAGCACCTCCCAGCGTGCTCCTCCCGCGGTCGTACCTCAGAGGCTTCTGGGAAATGTGGTCCGGAGTCTGGGAATCAGCTCAGCTGACTTTGCGACGACTCACTTCCCCAGCAGGCAACGCTACACGATCCTAACGGAGCCGCGCCTCGCAGACTTCTGGGAAATGTAGTTCAGAGTCCATGAAGCGACTATGACGGCGCTCCCAGCGTGCATTTCGGACCCTTAGAGGACGGTGGCTAGGTTATAATCTGAGACGTTACTCGTGATGAAGCGGCTGATTTAAGACAGATTTTTTTCCCTTAGGTCATTATTTTTTTTGACAGCATTAAATTCTATTTTTATTTATTTATCAAATATTCCTTAGGTCATTATTTTATTAAAAAAAGAAAAAACCCTCTTTCTTATTCTGACATTCACTCTATATCCATTAACTGGGATATTTCTATAGAATCTTTCTCTTATAAAGTGGAACTTGTGTGGTTACATTCTAATATTGATCCCATTTCAAAGACAGGATATTTGCTTCTTTAACAATTTCTGAAGTAATCAGTTGTTTTAAAAACTACCCTGCATGCTGATAAATGTTATTTTTGGCATTTTCTTTTTAGATTATTTTTATGAAGCTGTGGGTTTAAAATTGAATCAGTGTGTTCCACATTACAGAAATTTTCCTTAATGATGGTTCAAATGTTCACAGTAATGGCAATGACTTCCTTTTCACAGCACAGTTGTTTTCTTCTGATTGGACTCCATCCACTATTGAAAACTTTCTTGCTTTTGGACTCAGCCAGCTTTCCCAGGCTCACTTTATTCTTTCTCTCTTCCAGATGCAGAATCGACCACTTCTCCAAAAAGCCCTGGTTCCTTTTATATAGAAATAGCATTAGAGAACACAATCTGGACACTGTTGAGCCAACACTGCTTGTAGGCATTTTCAGCAGACAGAAAGTAGGGAAAGAATGCTTCTGTTCTATTTTTCCAAATCAATTTTAACGTTATAGAAGTTCTGTCTCTAAACTGACACAAAACTTCAAGTAAATTCTGAACTGTAAGTTTATTATTAACATAATTATTTACTGTTACTTACAATATAAGGAAAAAACACGTCCCCAGTAACAATGGCGATACTATACGTGTCATAACTAAAGGAAATCTGAAATGTTCTTTGTTGTGACTCTTTTTGTCCTTAGAATGACTCCCATTAAGTGTATAAAGATAGGACACTGCATTGTGCCTTTATCAGTGATGAACTATTTAAAAATGGTGTTGGGATGACAGGGTAGTGTTATTCAGAAAAAAAGATCAAATTCAATCAAAATCGCAAAATGTATGTCAGAATAAGGTAGAAATGACCAGACATGCAAATATATAAAGAAAAGTCATGAACATGATAAAAATGTGTGGTCTATAATATGGAATTAAGGAGATCCTTTCTAACTGTAACTCAAAATCCGGAAGTCATACACTGTTGAAAGATCAAGACGTTAGAGGTCTCTAAATCTTAAGAAGGTCTTGGTCATTATAAGGCAGATACAGTTGCAATGTGACATAAACTCTTTTAAGGAAAAGAATAATTAGACATTTTCAGTAAGGCTATTAAAAATATGGAACAGAATGAAAAAAAAAGGGCTCAAAATTTTTAATTGAATCTCCATTACATACATAATGAAAAACTATAAATGACTTTAGCCATTTAAATTTAGCCAGTTAGCAATTAATATTAGCCAAATTCAATTTATTCCATTAATCAAAGATTGAGTATTTGAACATGGTTTAATCTTTTGCATTGAAATAAGAGACTTAAACAGAAAAAACATTTGAGCACCATGGTACACTCTTGAATATTTGACAATTAAGCCATGCCAAGTATGAGAAATTTTTAATTATTAAGCAAGAACATTGAAATTAAAAACTGCAAGCAGGAAAGCTCCAGCGAACAGAATCAGCAGTAAACACTGGGAGCATTTGCACACAAGTGAGGCTGAACTAGGGCCCTAGTCAGAGCTACAGCCATTGACTGCACAGGATGCCTAAGCCAGGACCCAGGGAAAAGGGAAAAGGAGGAAACAAGAAAAGGGAAGCAAATAGCTAGAACCATTACTATTCACAGATGACATGGTCACAACGTGAAACACACTTACAATAGAGAACGTAAGGCAAATCCTTAATATACTGACATCAGTCTTCCACCTTTAGTAGCAGTAATTAGACAATTCAAACAGAGGAGTGTTGGGAGCCGGGGCTATGTCCCTTCCCCCACGTCTGAACGCAGCATGGGAAAGCACAAGCTTGAGAGCAACCGGTGCAGTCCTTGGAAGTTATCTGCTCACAAAAACATATCTTGTCCTTGAAGATGAGCCAAGACTCCTCGCTCTGAAAATAGGGAGACCTTGAGGATGTGTGAAAACACCTCCCCGCCAGCGCCACCTAAGGTCCAATTATCTCCTGACCCACCCCTTACTTGCTACTTGTATAAATTGAGCCTGTAAACAATAAACTTTGCCAGCTTGATCAGACATCCTGTCTTGCTGGTCATTCTTTGTGTCTCTTGCTTGTCTCATTTCTGCAGGCGTCTCCGGCACACTCCACGTTCGTCCTGCGGGCCGGGACAGAGGAGCAGCACGCATTCCCGCTAGCACACACATACACACACACACACACACACACACACACCAGGACCCCTTCTTACAAGGCATTTCAAGATTTGTGTGAAGAAGCCATAAAACTTTATTGAAGGACATAAAGGCATGATTAAAGGCTGAAAAACACATCATTGACATTTAACAGACACTGTAAGGGAAGAAATAGAGCTGCTGAATATTAATTAGGTGATCTGGTTAAACTAGTCTTTGACTGTTAATACGAAAGATCATCAATATCCTTACTATCATGGGTTGTGTCCTTTCCCAAAGATATGCTGAAACCCTAACCCCTAGGAACTTAGAGTGTGATGCTATCGGGAAATAGGGTCATTGCTCAAGTCATTAGTCAAAATGAGGTTACGCTGGAGTAGAGTGGGGTCTAATTCAATACGACTGAGAGTCCTTATAAAATGAACTCTGTAAATCAAGACACTGCATAGAGAACATCTTGTGAGGAGGGAGGACTGCCTGATGCACCTACCAGCCAAGACATGTCAAAATTTGCTGGCACCAGAAGCTAGAAAAGGCAAGGAAGGATTCTCCCCTACAGGTTTCAGAGGAAGCATGGCCCTGAGGACATCTTGATTTTGGACTTCTGTACTCCAGACTGTAAGTCAATAAATTTCTCGTTTTTGTTTGTGGTACTTTGTTATGGCAGGCCTAGGAAATGAATACACTTACCAAATGCACAATGAAGTGGTGCAAAATTATTTACCAGGCACCAAAGGTTATTTTTAATATACAGTGATTAGAAAACATTGATAACTCATCTGAATCTGATATATTTAAAAGAACATCTGGAAACTAAAAAAGATTCACTACATTTGGGATGAGATTTCAGTCAAATTTGAGAATACAGGAACGGAATAAAGATGCCCCCTGCACAGGAAAAACACTTTCCAGTGGGGCACAGGGCCTGTAAACATACCATGTACAGCAAGCAGCACTGTGATGGGATGCGATGGGGGAGGAAGTACGAGGTTTCAGACAGGAGCCTGTCACCTCCCCCAAAAGGGAGACTTCGCGTGGCAGCTAAGGGGACTGGCAGGTACCGGCCCCTGGGGAACAAGGTGAGATGCGGACGGTGTCCAAGGACAGGGTGGGGTCTGCAGCATCCCAGGACCAGGGAGAGGACGCGACCGGCGGACACCGCCAGCGGTGGGGACGAGAATCCACAGACTGAGGGCTTTACATGGCATCGGGGTGGGTGAGGAGGGTCAGTAAAGGGTTTTAAGCAGAAAAACGTCAAGGCAGGTGGTGTCCACGCGCCAGAAGGCAGAAGGTGAGCAGGGATCAGCCACGGCGGGCGACTTTAAAGCCCAGAAAGAGACGCGGGTCCCAATGAGGTACCGTGGGTTTAGACAGAGTAGGGTGAGGGCCTCCGGGAAAAAAAGCAAAGCAAGATAATTACAGACAGAATAATGTAGCAATGTGCAAACAAGTCCCTATTCGTCAGAGTCACACTAATTCTCTTGGGTAAAGTCACCACCAGACTGGGAATACAGACATCTTCAGTGAGTCCAGTTAAAGCTCAAAAGGCCAGGAGCGACTAGGCCTGGAACGCTTGAGTGTTCCGCAAATAAAGGGGGGCTCACCTTAACCCGTGACCTCACTGTATCTCAACTATAACCCACCTTGGGGGCAGGGCAGGGGGTACAAGTCTGCACCCCCAGCCCTTTACCCACATTCTTGAAAAGAACCCCTAGACAACGCACCCTCACGGGCTCTCCTGTCCCCTCCTGGCGTGAGCCAGGAGCTGTCCTCTCACTGTACGGCCACTTAAAGCCTGTCCCTGGCTCTCCTACCTTGAGTGTTTGCGAAGTTCATTCTTCGACTCTGCAAAACAAGAACCCCGGCATCCTCAAGATGCAAAACCTTTCACGGCGACGCTGGGACCCACCACGGGAGGGAAGGACGGGGCTTTATCGCTCACAGCGAGCCCCGCGCCTCAGCGGCGGCGGTCCGGGCCCTGGGGCCGCCAGGATCCAGCGCGAGCGGAACGACGTCATCTCCTCAGAGCCAGCCCCGCCCCTGCCGGAAATGCGCAGCCGCGACGCTGGGATGGCAGGACGCCTGACGGGCCCCAGGCGCGGCGGAAGTAGGGGCGGGGCCTGCACCTACCCTGGGGCATTTCCGGACGTGGTCAAAGGTACTTAACCCTCTGGGCGTGGATCCGTCTATTCCGTTTAATGCGGAGCAGAGTTACTTGTTTCAAACGCTAAGATGTAAACTGGTAGTCTGCGGGTCACTTGTACCGGAAATTGTTCTTTTAAGCTGAAAACTACTTAAAAGCCCTTTGCCTGTGGGAGATGTGTCCTGCCAGTGATACAAGAGGCGTGCTCGTGTTGGGGCCCCAGTGAGGACCTCCATGTCGAATGGACCGCTTGCCTTCTTCCCTGATCTCAAGTCTCCGCTTCAGGTTCTCTGCTCTGCCTCCCCACCACCACCCCGCTCCCCCCATTTGAATCCCAGGCCTTGCCCTGTCACGCAACTGGGCCCCCCTCTCCTCGTCTCAGCGGACTTCAAGACTATCATCTTTCCAGGACAGGGTTACCCTTCCTGCTCTCCCTTTTGCACTTTTGGACAGAGTCCAGGTGGCACACGTATGACTTCACAGGCCCTCCTGAGTTGTGTGCAGGGGTCCGCGCAGCATCTCTTAACTTCTGAATGGCCTCCGACTTTGAGGGGTTAATTTCTCCACGCTGCCTTTACCCTGGAACAGTAAACACCAGATCTGGGACATCTGACTGGTCTGTAGAACCCACCTGAAACTCGAGTACAACATATTCCTCCACTGGAGTGAGTAAGTCCTTGATAGGTGAGTGATTAGGTAAAATAATTCGTTTTGGCTCTTACAGTTTCAGACCAATTCAACAATTACGCTAGTCTGTGTGTGTATGTGTGTGAACAAGAATGTCTTCTGGCCTAACTACAAATTATGTCTGTAGTTTCCCCTCAAGTGTTTCTGGGTTACATGTGTCATGTTCTGCCTTCTAAAGTCAGCTTATCAAGAGAACTAGTCACACGCACACATAGGCCATTTGTAGCCATTCTGCACCATAGTGAGTTGTCAGCTGTGCTGCCTAGTGGCCAGGACAGCCTGCTGGCTCTGCACCTGTGTAACCCTACCTCACGTGAGAAGTAGACTGTAGGGAAGGAACTCACTAGACTAGTATTGCTGCCAGCAATCGGGACCAGCACAGTACCCAAACCTGATGTCCCTTCCGCAGGGGGAAAAGTCTGGGTAAAGTGACAAATGGATAGAGGGAGAAATTACAGCTGAGGATAACAGGGAGTGGACTGTTGGGGAGGAACTTGCTTGACTAATATTGCTGTCAGCAATCGGGACCAGCACAATAGCTAAATCTAATATTCCTTCCATGGGCAAAAAGTCTGGGTAAATTAAATGACAAATGGACAGAGGATGAAATCATGTGTGAAGTTAATGGGCTGGATAAGTGGGTTATGCAATGAGGGAAATCCAACATTTCATTAATGCCTTGAGAGAGGCTCAGAGCAAGAGAGTAATACTATCTGTTAGCAAAAGCATGCCAGATGCCAAAAGGGTGAAGCTCTGTGTTTGTCAAAACCACCTGTGATCTTGGGAACATGGCAAGTTGAATGACAGCCTACAAGTCAGTTACATTGCTCTGGTAGAATATTTGGTCATAGGACTTTATAAGACAATGAGTTGTCTCTTTAAATGGGTAACCACCACACACTGGCTTCATCAAATGTAAGCCTGTTTTATTTGCACTGGTCCTGTTTCGTCATGTAAATGCCATACTAGATGTAAGTGCTCTGACAGGCATGACCACCGTGCAGTAAGGAATCTGTATTTGAAGACCAAGGTGGGGAGTATGAGATCATGAGTCATACATAATTACTTGATAGTAACATGACTATATATTCCCCAGATACATTTGGTCTTCATCGAGTTCCTGAAAACACTGCAGTCTTAAAGGTGAAATGGGTGTCTCGTCATATTGAGGAGACATTTGAACCACCTCCCAAGGGCAGGGGCTGGAGGATGAATCGGCCAATGGACAATGATTTACTCAGTTATGGCTATGGAATGAAGCCCTCACAAAAACCCCAGAGAAGAGCTCATATAGTTGTCTGCTCTCCTAGGTCCTGCTTCTCCGGCTGAGAGCTTCCGTGCTTGGGGAGCCAGATGGCCTCCATGGGCCACCAAGCCAGGCCCCAAGCCCCACGAGGATAGAAGCTCCTTTATTTGGGACCTTGCCCTGTGTCTCTCTTCATCTTTCTGTTAACTTGTATCCTTCTTTAACTGGTGAACATAAGCGTTTTCCTCAGTTCTGTGAGCCACTCTACAAATTACTCAAACCCAAGGGGAAAGTCATGGAATGTCCGTTCTGTAGCCAGTGGGTGAGAAGCACACAGAAGACTGCCTGCGGCTTGAGACTGGCACACGGAGTGGGGGGTGGAGGCAACTATATCATAAAAAAAAGATTCCCAAGTCAATTCTGTGGTCACTATTAATTTGAATCATTTTTGTAACAAATACTCTAAAAGCAACTGCTAAAAACTTTGGTGTGCTTTCATAGTAAAAAGTCTTGGTGGTTTCTTATGTAAATCATTCCTGGCTAATTTAGATTTTCATTTAAATATTTTCCAACATATTTTGCACCTGCAAATTTTCTGTCCATTATGATGACTGTCATGCTTTTAAGCTATATTTCTTGGGCACTGGTCTTTCCATACTAACCATGTTGGTATGTTTTCTCTCCACTATGAATTTTATGTACAATATGTGAGGAGCAGTCGACAGCTTTGCCACTGCCTTTCAATTTGTAGATTTTTTTTCTCCCATCTGGAAACTTTCAGCCTCCCTATATTTATAGTTTACACAAAGCTCATGCCTACATCAGTGTGTATGTTTCTCTTTAGTATGAGTTTTCTGGTGTGCAGTAAGGCCTGAGCACAGCTTAAAGGCTTTGCCCCATTTTACATGTGTAAGGTTTCTTACCGGTATGAATTCTCTGATGACAAGTTTTGAGAGACTTGAAAACATTTGCTGCACTCTTTACATTTGTAAGGTGTCTGTCCAGAATGAATTTTCTGATATTGAGTAAGGACTGAGGACTGGGTAAATGCTTTGTCATTCTTTACACTTATAAAAAAAAGATTCCCAAGTCAATTCTGTGGTCACTATTAATTTGAATCATTTTTGTAACAAATACTCTAAAAGCAACTGCTAAAAACTTTGGTGTGCTTTCATAGTAAAAAGTCTTGGTGGTTTCTTATGTAAATCATTCCTGGCTAATTTAGATTTTCATTTAAATATTTTCCAACATATTTTGCACCTGCAAATTTTCTGTCCATTATGATGACTGTCATGCTTTTAAGCTATATTTCTTGGGCACTGGTCTTTCCATACTAACCATGTTGGTATGTTTTCTCTCCACTATGAATTTTATGTACAATATGTGAGGAGCAGTCGACAGCTTTGCCACTGCCTTTCAATTTGTAGATTTTTTTTCTCCCATCTGGAAACTTTCAGCCTCCCTATATTTATAGTTTACACAAAGCTCATGCCTACATCAGTGTGTATGTTTCTCTTTAGTATGAGTTTTCTGGTGTGCAGTAAGGCCTGAGCACAGCTTAAAGGCTTTGCCCCATTTTACATGTGTAAGGTTTCTTACCGGTATGAATTCTCTGATGACAAGTTTTGAGAGACTTGAAAACATTTGCTGCACTCTTTACATTTGTAAGGTGTCTGTCCAGAATGAATTTTCTGATATTGAGTAAGGACTGAGGACTGGGTAAATGCTTTGTCATTCTTTACACTTATAAGATTTCAGTCCAGTTTGAATATTCTTGCATTTACTTATACTCGATCAATTACTACAGGCTTTTCCACACTCTTTGAACTTCTAGGCTTCTCTCCACTATGAACTTTCTCATGTACTTGAAGATTTGAGGAACGAGTAAAGGATTGGCTGTACTCTTTAAATGTGTTAAGGTTTCTGTCCAGAATGAATCCTCTGATGTCGGTAAAGGTGTGAGCCCCGCCTAAAGGCTTTGCCACATTCCTCACACTTGTAAGGCTTCTCTCCTGTATGAATTCGATAGTGCACAGTAAGACTTGAGGAACAAGTAAAGGACCTGCTGCACTCTTTACATTTGTAAGGTTTCTCTCCAGAATGAATTCTCAGATGTTCAGTAAGTTGTGAGCCCCACTTAAAGGCTTTGCCACATTCTTTACACTTGTAAGGTTTCTCTCCAGTATGAATTCTGTAATGTGATGAAAGACTTGAGGAACAAGTAAAGGATTTTCTGCATTCTTTGCATGTGTAAGGTTTCTGTCCAGAATGCATTATCTTATGTAGACTAAGTTGTGAGCTCCACTTAAAGGCTTTGCCACATTCCTCACACTTGTAAGGCTGCTCTCCAGTATGAACTCTCTCATGCTCATTAAGACGTAAAGAAGTTCTAAAGGATTTGTCACATTCTTCACATTTGTAGGGTTTCTGTTTAGAATGAATTTTCTGATGTCGATTACGGTGTGAAGACAACTTAAAGGCTCTTCCACATTCCTTACATTTGTAAGGCTTCTCTCCAGTATGAATTGTCTCATGCACAGTAAGACTTGAGGAATAAGCAAAGGATTTGCTGCATTCTTTACACGTGTAAGGCTTCTCCCCTGTATGAATTCTCTGGTGCACAGTGAGACTTGATGGACAACTAAAGGACTTGCTGCACTCTTTACATTTGTAAGGACTCTGTCCAGAATGAATTCTCTGATGTCGGGTACATTCGGAGCCCCGCTTAAAGGCTTTGCCACATTCTTTACACTTGTAAGGCTTCTCTCCCGTATGAATTCTCTCATGCACACTAAGACTTGAGGAACAAGTAAAATATTTGCTGCATTCTGTACACTTGTAAGGCTTCTCTCCTGTATGAATTCGATAGTGCACAGTAAGACTTGAGGAACAAGTAAAGGACTTGCCGCACTCTTTACATCTGTAAGTTTTCTGTCCAGAAATAATTCTCAGATGTTCAGCAGGTCGTGAGCCCCACTTAAAGGCTTTGCCCCATTCTTTACACTTGTAAGGCTTCTCTCTTGTATGGATTCTCTCATTAACAGTAAGAACTGAGGAACAAGTAAAGGATTTGCTGCAGTCTTTACATTTGTGTGATTGCCTTTCAGTATGAATTCTCTCATGACTGTTTAGATGGGAAGACTGACTATAGACTTTCCCATTTTCATTACATTTGCAAGCCTCCTCACCAGCGTGGATGCTGTGATGTTTAATCACATTTTTGAAATGTTTAGAAGTTTTGACACATTCCTTGAAGACTTGTCCACATTTATTACATGGGGAATGGTTTTCTGGAATCTGAGCTCTCTGATGTTCTCTATGGCTTGATCCTTTGTTATAATTTATTCCCAGTTCCATAGAGTGATATGCTCTCTCTTGAATGTAAATACCGTGGCAATTATTGAATATAGAGCCCTTCCCAAAGGACTGCTTACTTTTATTATACATGTAAGGTTTTTCCTCATTGTTTATAAACTCACTTTCATTAAGCACTGTTGGGTGGACAGAATCTCTGTAATAGTTACCAAAACTGTAGGTTCCAGCACAAGTGGGAATTACTTGTTCTTGGAAGAATAATGAATCCTCGTTAAATGACTTTTCAAATTCAACGTATTTACACATTTCTTCCTCACTGTATCTTTGGGCCTCAGAATTATATGACTGAATATCTAATGGGTTATTATATTTTGTATGATTGAAACTATTACTTGCACCATGGCCCTCCTCAGTTTTAAGGTTTTCCAAGATTTCTTTCTGAGAAGAGTTGTGTTTCAAAACTGGACGATGACATCTACTCACAGAAGCACATTCTTCTGCAACAGTAACTGACTTGCACTGGGTTTTGTCCCGAGTCACCCCAGGCTGTGGGTCCCCACGGATGGGGAGGGGCTTGTCCCGGGGGCTCCTCCCGTGGCTCTGCACTCCTCCGTGACGGCCGTCCTGCCCTCCACGCTCAGCCTCACCATCCCTGCGTGTCCTCAGGTGTGAGTCCCCAGGGTCACAGCTCCCACATCTTCTTCCCAGGAGCACTCTTCGGAATGAGTCCTTTATGGCAAGCTTAGGTAACAGTCCTTTGTTGTAATGGGAAGAAAGTGCTGAAATATATAAAAAGGTTAAATTACATCCCAAGAATCAGGTACATATACTTTAAAAATACATGTAAAAATTAATAGTGTACATGTACATGTATTATAGTGAACATTTAGTAATCTATAAAATTGCTTTACACGTGAAACAAGTTATGGTGTATCAACTATATAGCTCAATTTAAAAGCCACTCTGGTGATGGTAAATATATATATATATACAGACATTGAAAATTATTGTTATATTTGAGCAGAAAATACTTTTAATATTGGCATGGAATTTAATACTCATGAATCATTTAATGGATTTACAAGAAGATACAATGTGACATCAATAGCATTAAGTGATGAGCAGAATACATACAGGAAGAGTTTTGCTACCTGAAATTGTTCCAGTCTTTAAAGAGATTTTTATAAACTTAGTAAGTTTTATGTAATACCCAAGAAAATACACATGCAAGACACTCAAAAGGGAAAAGAGAAAGAAAAGAAAGCATGACCATAGAAAAATCACTAAACAAAGGCAGACACAGGCAGATGAACATGTGGAAAAGATGCCTAGAAAAGACACACAGAAAAAGTTTTACAGAAAGGCAATGGGCAATGCTTGAACTCCCCTTCAGTAATTAATTGTACGTGGACTAAACGCCAAAAGAAAAGATGAAGAGAGGCTAAGTAAACTGAAAAGACAAGGTCTAACTGCAGGCTTGTCTACAAGACATTCACTCTCTAGAAACACACAGAGGCTGACAGTGACAAAGATGGAAAATGATAATCAATACACAAGGTGACCACGAGACAGGAGTGGCCATTTCAGTTACAATGGACTTTGTGAAAGACTATCACAGGACACAGTGACAGCCAATGACCAATGAGACACTCACAGGAAAAGATCCAAATTATATGTACTACTGCATCCCATATGAGAGCTCCTACATAAAGAACACAAACAGTGACAGTACGAAACAAATGAAACAAAATAATGATGAAGATTCAATATCCCATTTTCAGGAATGGTTAGAACACCAGAAGGGAAGATCAATAAGGAGACAGACAACTTGAAACACACAAGAGGGAAACTGGACATAATGAACATGCAGAATCCTCACCAAATGGCAGAAAAAAACAAGTTCTCAATGTCAAATAGCACATGACAGATGACATACATTAGCCCACAAAATCAGTCTAAGTAATTCTTGGAAAATGTACATCTTACAAAGTATCGTTTCTTTTTAGGCTATTTTTACTGAAGCATAGTTGATATGAAATATTATATTGATGTCGGATGTACAACAGAGTGATATGACAATTATAGACATTACTAAAGGCTCATCAGGTCAACAAATCAAGACCTTACAGTATTTATTGGCTATATTCCCTATGCTGTACTTGCATCCTATAACGAACTGATACTTAGACAGTTGATTACTATACAGAAGGAGCAAGAATACACAATGGGGAAGAGACAATAAATGCTGGTGTGAAACCTGGACAGTACATGCAAAAGAATGAACCTACATCACTGTTTTATACCATTCAAAAAATAAATTCAAACTGGATTAAAAGACTCAAATACATGACCTGAAACCATAAAATGCCTAGAAGAGAACAAAGCAGTTAACTCTTCAAAACATGAACATTACTAATTTTTTTTCTGGGTATGTTATCTCCAGGCAAGGGAAAATAAAGGGAAAAATGAAAAAGCGGAACAACTTAAAGGTTCTGAGCAGCAAAAAAAAAAAAAGTCAACAAAATTAAAAGAAAATTTACTGGGTAAGGTTACGTATTTGAAAATGATTTAGCTCCCAGAGGGCTAATATCCAAAATAAGAATGAACTCATGCAAGTCAAGACCAACAAGAGAAATAATCCAGCTAGAGGACGGTCAAAGGACCTCAATAGACTTTTTTCCAAAAAATACATACAGATGGCCAACAGACACATGAAAAGATGCTCCACTTCACTGATCATCAGGACGGTCCCCTCACACCAGTCAGAGTGGCTAACAGCAAAGATACAAGACATAGTGACTGTCAGTGAAGGGAACCCTTCTAACACGTCATACGGAACTGTAAATTGGTGTAGCCACTACAGAAAGCAGTTTGGAGATTTCTCAAAAACTAAAGACAGAAAAACACTTAGCATCAATTCTACTACTGGGAATCTACAGAAGACAAGAAAATCACCAATTTGAAAAGATATATAGACCTGTTGGTTTATTGCAACATCATGTACAATAATCTAGCTATGGAGGCAACCTATGTCCATAAATAAATAAATGGATAAAGATGTGGTATATTTATAATGGAATACCACTCAGTTATGAAAAAGAAGTTGATCTTGTCATTTGCAACAATATGGATGGGTGAAGATGGCATTATGCTAACTAGTAAGCTAAACAGAGAAAGACAATTACCTCAGGACTTCACTTATATGTGGGATGTAAGAAACAAAAGAGAAGTAGACCCAAAAACAGAGATAATGGACTGTTGGTATCCTTTGCAGGAGATGGGGGCACTGTATGGGTGAAATAGGGGAAGGGGACAGAGAGGTACAAACACAAATTATATAAAACATCATCATTTTTTACCATGAGGGATTGAAACCAGAAACAATAATGGAAAGAAAAGGGGAAGTAAAAAGTAAAAAAAAAAAAAAATGCAATAAATACACTACACACACTTAGGCCACCTATTTTCCGAGATGACACAGGCAAAGAAAATTAGAACACATCTTGAGATAAATGAAACCAAAGACACGACACATTGAAACATATGGGATGGAGGGAAACCAATATTAAAAAGGGAAACTTATAACAATGAGTGTTTATATCAAATGAGAAACATCTCAAATCAACAACCTCAATTTACACATCTGAAAATACAAAAATAACAGCAAAGCCCAAGTTTACCAGAAAAAATAAACAAAGCTAGGGCAGAAATAATGAAATGAAAACACAAAATTAATAGGAAGAAAAAAATACTCAATGAATCTAGTAGGGTTCCTTCAGAAAAACAAAACAAAACTGAGAATCCTTATATAAATAAAAAATAAACTGGAGATAACTCAAACAAAACCAAAGGTTAAAGATGAGACAATGCAAGTGATGCAAAATAAAAATGGATGATGGAGATTTTTTTAGAAAAACCATATATGCCAAAACACTAGACATGTAGAACAAATAACGTACCAAGGTTGAATCTTGAAGACATGAATATATGAATCTATGAATATACTAGAAAGAGATTAAAAGCACTGCCAGAAGTTCCCAAAGGAGCCCTTTTGCAGTGCAGACGGCTTCACCTGACAATCATTATCAAACACTGACAGAAAAATTAATAACACCCTTTCTCCCTAAATTCTTCCTTAACTTAAAGAGATGGAATGTTTCCAAACCCTTTCCTGTAAGGCCAACGTGACGCTGACACCAGAGTCAGAGAAAGACACAACCAAACAGAAAATGACACACTTCTGATGACCATGGATGCAAAACCCTCAAGAAACACACCACACAGTCGGATGGCACAGTGCAGGCTCAGGCGTCAGGACAACGCGGCAGCCATTCCTGACATGCACAAGGTCACGACCCAGAATAAAAAATAACCAACAGTATACTAGAGCACAATAAATAAATATAGGAAGAAAAACACTTGATTAGCTCAACTGAGGCACACAGGCTTTTGAGAAGTTCAACATTCTTTTAAGATAATAAAAACACTGAACAATGAAGGAACAGGTATAAACTACAACATCATAAAGATTATACATGTAAAGCGCAAGGCTAACATGATACTCAACTGTGAAAACAAAGATTTTCCTTTTTACTCAGGAAAAGGAAGGATTCACTCGTTTACATCTACTCAACATATCGATGGAAGCCCAAAGCAGAACAATTAGGTAATAAAAAGAAACAAAATTCACCCAATTATGTTCAAGGAAAACAAGTATCTCTTGGCAGTAAACATGATATTATATATAGAAAATTCTAATATCTACACACATACACAATCACTGTCAGGTCTATTAAAACACATTCAGCAAAGGAAATGGCAGAAAAATTCATACACAAAACATCACTTGTCCAGAAAGAGAATTAAGATAAGTCCATTTACAATAGAATCCAAATAGTAAGTCACTTAGGACTAAACTAAACCAACTATGTGAAAAACTGTTTTCATGAAAATTAATAACATTTCTGAAAGACACTATGACATGAATAAAAGTAAAGACATCCCATATTCATAGACTGGGAGAATTAATAGTTAAGATGCCCATAGTAGCAAAACTGGTGACTAGACGCAATGCAATCCACACCATCTCAATGACATTCTTTCCCCAGAACAAATCCTAAAATGCACAAAAATATGGAGACCATGGTAGTTAATACAAACTCCAAGGATGTTAATGTAACAAGGTGACACTCCCCCAAAGAGATGAGGACTTGCATAAACAGAGACACACAGACTAGCTGAACAAGAGAGGCCACATTAGAGCCCCGTGTCCTGTCAAGTGAGCTGTGACAACAGAGCCGAGGGCACACCATGCAAATGAGTCTATAGACCCTGTTCATGGATAAAATGAACATCCACATGCAAAAGAATGAAGCAGAACACTTATACCATTTCCTCATACAAAAATCAACTCGTTATGGGTCACAAAGTAAGTATTTAAAACTTGTAACAATAAAACTACTAGTAGAAATCATGGGAGAAATCATTACAATATTGCATTTGGATGCAACACCAAGTGAGAGAACAAAGCCTAAGTACACAATGGGCCCACATCTCCCTGAGAGACGGGTCGCACATCACAGAGCACAGAGGCCGCTGGCCCCAGGGGAGGACACACGCTGGGAGCCCAGGTCTGCCAAGGTGCTCCCCTCGGGGGTGCACACTGCTCAGCTTCAAACCCTGAGCCTGAAATCCAAACACTACCCCAATTTAAATGATGGGCATTAGGACTGAACAGAAGTAACACCAAGGAAAATATACAAACAGGTAACCAGCATTAAGGTAAGGTGCTTAAAAGAACCAATCATTAGATAAATGCAAATGAAAACCAGAATGAGTTAGCTTGTATCTGTTAGGTTGGCTTTTCCTGAGTTCTGTGAGCCATTCTAGCTCACATTAGTCAAACCTAAGGGGGAGGTCGTGGGAACCTCCAGTCTGCAGCCGGTAGGTCAGAAGCACAGGGACCTGCATGGGGCTTGTGACCAGCATCTGCAGTGGAGGGGCAGAGGGCAGTCCTCTCGGACAGAGCCCTTCACCTGGGAATCTGGTGCTGTCTCTGGGCAGATAGCATCAGAGTTGAGTTGAGTTCTCCAACACCCTGCTGGTGTTCGAGAATTGCCTGCTATAAATATGTGTGGGGAGACCCCCTCCCACATACTTACACACACTGGAATTAGGTCTGGGTACCCAAACAGAATTAGAGTACTATTACTGCTGGGTATAATACTGTTACCAATATACATAAGTATAGGGAAAAAATACACCACTGCATTTGGCATTGGACGAGTGAGAATTGCCGAAGTGAAGAAAGGGAATGCTTGTGCACTACTGGTGGGATTGTAAACTCTACGGCCATTATGGAAAAAACTGGAAGGGTTCTTAAAAGCTAATAGAACTGGTGATTATACAGCATCTTGCTACGCTGATGGACAGTGACTGTAGTGGGGGGGGGGGACTTGGTGAGGAGGGGAACCTGGTAAACAGTGTTCTTCATGTAATTGTAGATTAATGATAGCAAAATAAAAATAAAATAAAATAATAAATCGATAAATAAATAAAAAGTTAATAGAACTATACTACCATCACCCAACAGTTTCACTTCTGGGAAAAAAAACAAAAAACACTAATTCCTAAATATTGGCACCACCCAATATTAATAGCAGCATTATTTACAAACAGACCATGCATGGAAAAAAAACCTAAATGTCCAACAAAGGATGTATGGATAAAGAAGCTGTTGTATATACACAAAAGGGAATATTATTCAACTATTAAAAAAAAAAAAAGGAAATCCTATCATTTGCAGTAACATGGATGGGCCCTGAAGACATTATATATACAAAGTGAGTCAGTCAGACACAAATACTAACTTATCTGTGGAATTAAAAAAAAAAAAGAGACTCACAGAAAAAGAGACCAGACTTGTGGTGACTGGAGACAAAGGATGGGAGAAGGGAACTGGGGAAGGTGGTCAGAAGTTAAAAAGCTGCAGTTGTAAGATAGGTGAGTCCTAGGGAGAAAACGCACGGCCCGAGGCCTGCAGCCCACGCTGCTCAGTGCCGGGCAGGAGGGACCAGAGAGGGAGGACTGCGAGTGCTTATCACGGGAGGAACTTATTTTTCTTTTTCCTTCTTTAATATTTATTTTTATTCTACCTACTAACGATGGATGTAGGCTGAACATGTGCTAATCATTTCACAATCTATGTCAATAACACCATCCTACTATACACCTCAAATGAACAGTGATGTATATCAATTATTTCTCAAAGCTGGAAACACACACATGCCAACGGAACTGAACTGAAGGCCTACACGTACGGCTATACGGAGACACTCAACTAGTGTTGGACAAGGAATGCAAAACACCCAATGAAGGAAAAAGTCTCTTCAATTAATGCCACAAGGAAAATTGGGATATTCACAAGCAAAAGAATCCAAGTGGGGCCCTATCTCGCCTACTCACAAAAAATTTATCTTGAGATATACTAAAGACTTAAATCTAAGACTTGAAACCACAAAACTCCACAAAGAAAAGATTTAGAGAATGTTCTTTGATATTGGCCTTGGCAATGATTTTTCAGATACGGCACCAAAAGCACAAGCTTCAAAAGTAAAAACCAACAGGTAGGACCAATCAAAAGCTATCCAACAGCTAAAGAAACAATCAATAAAATGCATAGGCAACCTACAGCATGTCAGAAAGTACTGGCAGAACACGTACCTGATAAGGAGTTAATATCCAACATACAGAATTTCACAGAAGATAGAAAAAAAACAATCTGATTAAAAAATGGACAAAAGACCCAAACAGTCCTTTTCCCAAGACAGCTTTAGAATGACCAAGAAACACATGAAAAGATGTCCAACACTGCTGCTCATCAGGGAAATGCCATCCAAACCACAGAATAATAACCCTTCGTACCTGTCAGAATGGCTGCTATCAGAAACAGGCACAGGGGCTGGTGAGGGTGCAAAAAAAAGGGGACTCGTGTAGTGCTGCAGGAATGTAACCTGCAGCGGTGATTCTGGAAGAGTTATGAGGACTCTTCACAAACTAAAAACACAACTACCATGTAATCCAGCAATTCCACTTCTGGGTGTGTATCTGAAGGTGATAAAATCAGGATTGCAAAGAAATGCACGCATCCATGTATTCACTGCACTGTTCACACCAACCAAGGCGTGGAAACAAGCCAAGTGTCCATCAGTGGAAACACGAGAGATGCACCCCTACGCACACGTGCACACACACAGTGGAATCCTAGTCAGTCATCAAGGAGGGAGGCCTGCCATTTGCAACCACAGGGATAAACTGTGAGGTCTTTATGCTAAGCAGAGTAAGCCAGAGAAACACAAGTACCACATGATCTCATTTACATGTGTAATATTAAATTTAAAAAACCATAGGAAGAGAGCAGATGGGTAGGCGCCAGGGCCTGCAGGGGGTGGGAGGAGGAAGGGGGATAATAAACTGTACCAACTTCCGCATACAAGATGAATTAACTTCTCGGACATAATGTTCAACAGGGCCCTTTAAACTAGTCCAGAAACAGTTTTTACAAGTTACTGCTCATAAAATTAACAGGGCAAGAGTCAACCAAACAGGAACCATAAAAACAAAATAACAAACTGTCAGAGTGCACTTTGCAGAGATGGGCAATTATGCGGGACCATGAGTCGTTTCCCCTGGAGGCGCGAGTTAGTGAACAAGGCATTAGTGAAGCGGCTCAGCCTCTCAGGGGCAGTAGGTAGCTCTTATGTCCTTGTCTTCCCCCATCCAGGTCATGAAAGGCCCCCCACCCACTCCTTTCTCGTACAAATTCCTTGCTTCCCTGCACAGGGGCGACACTTTTTCTGGTTGCTGGTCCATCTGTGCTCCCCAAGTGGCAATTCTAAGACCCCAGATAAGACCTTGTTCTTTCTCAGTTTTCCCTGCGGCTTCTCCGTCAGTGTGGAGTTCAGGACTGAACATGGGGTGAACATACTTTATGCCCCTGAACTCGGGAAGTACCACGAACCTAGGGTGAAGGACGAGGTCGCTGCAGAGAGGGGAGGTCTAAAGTCAAAATACATCAGGAAAATTGTCTCTATACCAACAAATCCCCAATTTTTCCCTTCAATTCAGGGATCTGACACACTTTCATATAAAGCAGAAATTTATGGGAGCCATTCTGTAAACTAAGAAAATAAAAGTTCTAAGTTTGGACTAGGAATGTTGGAAAGAAGCTCTTATCCTCACCCACGGAGACCAGGTTGCTGTAGTTCTCCTGCATCACACTCCTGTACAAGGTCCGCTGGGCAGGCGCCAGGCATTCCCACTCCTCCTGCGAGAACCGGACGGCCACGTCCCCGAAGGTCAACTGTCCCTGAAATGTAAAAAACAATGGAACAAAAATATCCACAATTACCAAGTGGCTATAAACAAGAGTTCATGGCCCAAATGAAGACTGAAAAGTAAGAGAACTGGTTTGGGCCTGGGTGAGTGAGCGGAATCATTTTTAATACAAACACCACTCTAGTGTTCCTTGAACGTTGAGGAAAGAGAATAATGTAAATCCACAAAACCAGTATAGAGACATAAAATAAATAACTGAGGATCAATACTGGCATATATATTTTTAAGTACTAAAATTGACAGCTTACCTGTTGCATCTATTTCTCAATGTCAATGTCATTTTGAGTTAGAAGTGTTCCTTCTAATTTAGTATGTAGTACAATGAAGATCTCCTGACCTTTAAAAATCTTCTGATTTTAAAATGGAGATAATGATTCAGGTTTTCTGGGCTGGGTCCTGAGTTTCTCCATTTCCAGCAGGCTCACCAGTGAGACTAAGGACTCTCCCTCCAAGGGCCACATTTTTGAATTACTGAGCAGTGAAATACTATGGGAAATACTCATGGGTGGCTTTGAACTAAACATTTTATGGCAAATGCAGTTTCTTAAATCACAGCAAGAAGGGCAACCACAATTCACTTAAAACATTTACTATCTGCTAGATATTACTCTAACAGCTTTTCATGAACTGATGCATAGTACTCAAAAATAATCCACAAGAACAGTATTTTTTTCCCTCATTTATGAGGACACTTTGTTAAACATCCCGTAAATAGGAGAACCTGGGTTTTAACCCACTTTATCTAACCTAGAATTTATCAAGAGAAATAAAATCAGATGAACACTAGCATCAAAATGGAGATTCACAGCAGTTCCCTAAACTGAGTAATAGAAACAAAGAAAATGAACAGCACAGAACTTAATCTAGTAACATTTACATTTTTACACAGACATGGATATATTAAAATGTAAGTATACACATGTTAAAACTACTACAGTTGAAAATTTTACTCTTGGAAAATAAAGTTTAATTTGCATACCCAGTAATCATGTATGGGGGACACTTTTTCTTGCTTTAAATACACTACAGAAACCCACACATGATAAAAACTAAAATAAAAGCTATTGTTTTTTAAGTCTTGTATTTCTTGAAATTTTTTGCTACATTTATCATAGGTGCAGTATTGTTTTAGAATTTTAAGGCACCAACACATACATTAAGTAACAAGGCGCAGTAGGTCTGTGATGGGAGTGGGGAAATAAAGGCAAACCCCCACAGCCCAGGTTGCCTGACAGAAACCTCCATTTGGACAGGCCAGAATCTGCAGGGAGCACAGGAGACCTGCTGCATTGTACAGAGCAAACTACGAGCAAAGGGGATCTGAGAAGAAAAGGGAGTTTCTAGACTAAATGAGGTGATTTGTGAACTCAGCAAATCCTCTGAGATCCTGAAAGGTAACTGGGAAATTACTAACAGGAGGATCTGGCACAGAGCCCCGAAGCCAAATGTCAACATCTGCTACACTGGCACAAATTGCAATTAGCTGCCTGAGGCCCACAGCTCACATCACTGCTGTGATATTGTGGCAAAAATGAAAGAAACAACAGTCAATCATGATTTGAACCCAATTACGAGAAAAGAGCAATGATGGATGGTTAATAAAAGATACTAAAATATAAGCACATATGCACAAAATTCTACCTCCAGAGCATGAAGTGTTGTGTACTTTATCAACTGCAGATTTTTCTGAATTCATATTAGACTAATTTTAAACCCAACATATTATCACAAGATCCATTCAATCCTGACAGCTATTGTCTGAAACTCATGAGAGTAACTTTCCCATACATGCTGTTTCCCTAACTTCAGGAGGAAAAACAGACCCAAATCTACAGATGACAGGTATTTTCAGTATGACCACAATTAGTGTCTCCATTAATTGCATCACATGCAAAAGAGTTAGAGAAAACATTTCTAGTCTGGCAGTTATAACTAAAATGCACTGATTCTGTACAGGATGACAGGATCCAATAGATTCATCCTGCTCTTTATCACAAGCAAGGTTCTAAGCACAAAGTTGGGAACCGTGATATTCAGTTTGTGATTCCCGTAAGGAAGCTGGATAAGCAGATCCATCTCAGAACTACAGTCCTTCCTGAGCACCTTAAATATCAGGTTTCACTACCACGTTGATTAAACATCAACCTTTCATTGCTAATGACATGAAATTACATTGGGAAACAACTAAATGGTTGCCAGGTGAGGGACCCCACCTGCCTTTTCTATTAGCTCAGCTCATACCTCTGCAATTATTCCACCTTCCTGCGTGGCTTTGATACTGCACAGGCTTCACACCCGGGGGCATCACTTTTTCCCAAGACGATCACTGACGAGACTCCTGATAGCCCTGCTCTCATCACAGACTTAACGCGCCCCCCTCCTCCCTGCTGTGGGGACACCCAGCTCCTGGGAAGGGCAGGCGCGCAGTGCAAATGCAGAGACAGGCCTCAGCGATTCTGTGACCTCGCCGCTCCCCGGGGGCTGCACCGCCCTTTCCCCTACAGCAGCTAAGGGAGCGCGGGCTTGGGGGGACACTTTCTGAGAGCCTTTTTCAGTTGCTAATTACAAGGAGATCAACAGCCATCACAAGCAGCTAGGGAGCTACTCCAGGGCCCCCTGGAAGGTTTGTGACCCTTTCCCCACGATCCTGCAGGCGGGCACACCTGCAAGTGACCCCTGTGAGGACAGTCGTGGCAACCCTGCCACAAAGTGAGCACCACAGTGAGCGCTGAGTGGAGGGGCGGGAGCGCAGCAGGCGCGTCTCACGGCTCCTCCCAGAACCTCCAGGAGTCACGTGACCAAGCAGTCTTGTGACTAGCTTCCTGCCCTTCAGGCTTCTGAGCTGCTCCTACATTTAAGTTATGAGCGAGGTCCCGGGAGGGGTCTTTCTCCCCCACTCCACACCCTCGGACAAGGACACAAAGCAAGGAGGGACAGGAGAGAGAGTCACTGAGCAAGGGGACAGTGTGCTGTGCAGGCAGCCGGGGGGCCAGGCCCAGCCCTGCTTATCTGAACGCTTGGTTTTTCAGGAAGTGGGAGGGCGGGGTTAGCAGGTTCAGATCAGCTCACTGCTCGGGCTCCGTGTAGGCTCCGACTCTGTAATGAGGCAGGAAACCCATGGACGGGGCAGGTTTCTCATGATCAAGTGAAAGGGCCAAGGTCATTCTCACCCAAGTCACCAGTCACCTGCTCAGGCATCAGCCTTCGGGATTTCCCGGATGTCTTACTTTTTCCCTTCAGGCAAAGAGCGATGGAATCCCACCTATAAAGGATACCGGCTTCCAAGTCTCCCTTCCTTCCCGCTGCATGTATCTTACTAACTGCCTAGTCTTACCAGCAGAGATCCAAATCCCCTGAGCAGGATTTTCAGAGAGATTCCAGTAGGAGGAAGAACATGCTCCTGTAAGGCTGGAGGCACCGGAGGGAGGGGTGAGCACGTGGGACACTGATGACGTGCCAGAGTCCCTTGCTGCGGCCCCCAAGTTCCCGGCTGCTGCCCCCTCCTAATCTGAAAAATGTGCCTTGGGCTAGCTAATCCTCGGGCCCCTGTAATTCTAAGCTCTGTCTCCCCCTACCTTCTTTAAAACCTCGCTGCCTGCCCGGCTGACTGTGATTTCCCCAGCCTCCATTTCCATAGACCAGGGAACATCACCCGGGAATTGCACTCAAATAAACTGCCTGGCCCTTTGTTGCCTCTCGTGGCCTGCTTATTTCGGCTAAAATTTATCTTAGAGCTACCTATAGTTTACACTAGTTCAGTGGACTGATTTACACAATCCAGCTTCACTTAAATTTAACTCATCTGCACAATTCAATGCAAACAGATACAGATATTTTAAAGGAAAGTAAAGATAAGCAAATATTGACACCCCACTGATAACCAGAAGTAGGAACAGAACAGTGCCCAGAGGGGGAAGAACAAAAATAAAAGGATGAGGGTCAAATCTGAGATGCAGAATTTTCTCTACTTTTAACTGTCAGAGAAGCCAGTGCAACTTAATTCAGAAGCACGGAATGAAGACCACAGATGTCAAAATCTAGTTTTTTTTTTTCCAGAATCTTGAGCAATAAGCCCTATTGCCATTTCTATTGAGCAGGGAGAGGCATTTCCACTCCTCCTGGAAAGTTCTATGACCACAGCCCTCAAGGTGAGCAGTCCCTGAAATAAACTAGTTACCAAGTGGCCATCAGCAGAGGTCATGCTGGGGGAGAAGCATTGTGTATTTTCCTCGGTTCTTGTCTCCGCCGCAACAGAGAACTGAAGGGCAAGAGTCACAGTAGTGAAGCAGATTAAACATTTTATTTAAAGTTACTTAGAGAGAAAGAAGTGCAGGCGACCTCAGAGAGGAGCACCCTGGAAGGTTGGAGAGAAAGAGTTTAAGATTAAAACGTTACACACTTAGAAAGTGCAGGCTACCTGAGAGGAGTGCCCTTACAGGCTGGGGTTTCCCCCTTTTAACGATTTTTTTTCAGGAAAGTGACAAAGGGCTAGGGTGTGGCCTTGTTAAGTGGTCTCAAGTACCTTTGATGAGACATTAAGTTTCTTACCAGTCAGCCCGCTAGGTAACTCTGCAAAATTAGCTTATCAATCAACACTGTCTGCCGATCCTCCAATGTGGGCAAAGTTATTTGTTGTTTGCTAAAAGAGTATGTTAAGAATCTTTCTTTCTAACTTAATGTTTTTTTTTTTTTCAAAATGCAATTTTGGCTTTAAGGTGGGCTCTCCCTGTCTTTATTATGCTGTTTATAGGTGGGCCTTTTAGCAGGCTAGAGTCAATCTTACAACGATCTAACTGACTCAATGAAGATAAGGGCTGTGCTCAAGATACTTCTCTTTATCTGGGGAATATTCAAACATTCAAGGCCAAGTTACTCCTGCCTTTTGAGCTTTAATTAACTCATTAACTCTGGTCTTTTTCAGTGGGCTTTCCTGGCCTTACTCTCTTTGCACCCCACTCATACCTATTTTCCTCCTAACACTCTAGCTAAACTCTTTTCACGCAGTTCTGGGGCGGGAGGTCAAAGATTCTTTCTGCGCCTTTTGTGCCCTGATGGTTTTGCAACTGAGGATAATCTGCATGTCCCAGTGGCACATCTTGGGTGGCCGACCCTGTGTCCCCACACAGCTAAGCCTGAGTTGCATTTTTAAAGGTTTCAGAGCAGGTGAGCACACTGGGAAGGCAGGACGGCGGAAGCAGAGAAGGAACCGAGCGCCAGTTCTAAACGCAGAGCAGCTCAGGGGGAAACGCGGGCCCAGCCCCGGCCGGACGCACCCTCACCTGGGCGGCCGCCATCTCCGCCTCGGCCTCGGGCTGCTCGGGCTCCTCCCTCACGGGGCGCTGTGCGGACACGGTTCACGGATCCGGAGAAGATGCGCGGACAGCCGGCGGCAGGGCCTCCCCCGGCTCCCCGCCGACCGCGAGCAGGACCCTGACGCGGGGCCCAGGCCGCCCTCCGGGCCCGGGTCTCAGGACGGATGCGGGGGCGCGGGGCTCGAGGACCGCGGGCACCGGCTCCGCCCCGCAGCGGGTTGGGTCTGCGCACAGGCCCGGCACCCGGTGGGGACAGGCGAGCTCACCGGGCGCGCGGAGGGGGAACCCCAGGAAGAGGCCCCACAGCCGCGCCGCCACGAGCACCGGACTACCGCCTCCCGCCGCCGCGCCGCCCGGAAGCAGGAGCGGGACCCGCCCTCCTCTAGGGGAGGGGCCACGGCGCACGCGCAGCAGGGCCGGCGTCTCCCCGCGCACCCGCGGCCCCGGAAGCGGCCTGGGGCTCCGCCCCCTGAGGTTTAACGGAGGGCGGGGCACCGGGGAGGCTCGGGTCCGTTAGGGACGGGCGCTGTCAGGGGTCAGGGGTGTGTAGCGGTGACCCCAGGGGGGCTGACACGGCACGCGGGGCGTTAAACCCCAGGCAACCAAGGTGTTTCCGTCTCAGCGGGACTCTGACTCCTCTGCTTTCAACCCTTTGCATCCTGGATTCCACTGTTGATTCCTAAGCTCTTGAACCGCTGTTCCCTGTCCTGGGCACCCCTCCTACTCGGACCCTCCCTGTCTTGTCCTCTGGCAAAAGGGAGGTTAACAGCGAAAAAGGAAACAAATGCTTATTAGTACACATACATCCAAAACGTGGGAGACACCCAGGCAAACTGACCATCACCCTGAAATAGCCTGAGTCACCCCCTACGTAAGTCCAGGGATAGGGAATCATGGGGCAAAATACCTCTAAAACCGAAACCAAAGGGAGAAATAAAGTTTAGAGCCCATTTATTGCTTACAAACTGCAGTTCGGGGCTCTCTCCCCTACTGGGACAGAAGCAAAACCAGCACTCACCCCTGACCTCTCAGGTTCAGAGAAGCCCTCTGTTGCCCAGGTAATTACCCACTGATACGGAGATGACCTGCTCTCCACCCGAGGAATGCCTATTGATATGCAAATGCCATAAGGCCATACTTCTGTCCACCCAAGGATGCAGATGCACTAAGGCCAGGCGAGACATTCTGGAAACACTACAATTTTACCCACACCCTCCAATGCCATCTCTACCTGAAGACCAAAGATGTTGGGGATGGGGCGGTTTGGAAAGGTTGTCAAGACAAGCATGTAAGTCATAATGGAGTGTTAGGCACATTCAAATCCATGCTGTCCCCACTGATAATGCTAAAGGGAAACTGCTGCTTGATTTTCAGAGCTTATTCCAGGTACATTGGTTGTTTCTTAAAAATAACCAGCCTGAAATAATCCCTATGCCAAAGGGACAGGTATTGGGTGAGACATTTGCTCCTTTTCAGTAGAGAAATGTTGAATTTTATAATTAAATGCCAAAACATTATCTAAAATTACTGTGCTTTTTATACTCCCATTAGTAATTGAAGAGTCCTGACTAAAAAGTCTGGGCATAAGCTACTCCATTTTTTAATGACTTTGTTTGGGGGAAACAGGTCACGCCCGCTCTGTGCACAGCCCATTTTGCGCACAGCCCGCTCTGAGCTCAGCCTGTGTCTGCGCACGGCCCACTCTGGTATAAAAGAAGAATGCACTTGTACTTTGGGGTCTCCACCTGCACGTGCGAGACCCCAGCATGCTGGCTACCCAATAAACGCTCTTGCTTTTGCATCCACGCGTCTCCTGGTTATTTGGAGGTCGATTGCACGGACCCAACAGTAATATATGGTAATTCTCATTCCTCAATATTCTCATTGAAATTTGGTATGATCAGAGTTTTTTTATTTTAGCCATTCTAGAACATATTAACTGATTTCTCACTACAAAATATGAATTATCTCGTTCGAGGAGCTAAATAGCCAGACAGGAAAAAGAGGGAGGGGGACTTCCACCAGGGTTGACATTTGGCTGGATGCCTACAGTCTACACATCCCATCCACGTAAGCTGTTCTTGCAGGAGGTGGGAGGTGGGGAGTTAGCGTATAGACATCAGACCCACCAAAACCATCTGATTCCAACATGGTGAACAAGTTTTTCCAAATTTCATCTCAAAACACTATAAAAAAGCTTCTGTACAGTGAAGGACACTATCAGCAGAACAAAAAGTCATCCTATTGTATGAGAGAATATGTGCATAAATGACTCATGTGATAAAGCATAAACATCCAGAATATATAAAGAACTCATACGTGTCAACACATAAAAAACAAATAACCCAAACAAAAATGGGTGGAAGACCTGAACAGACACTTCTCCAAAGAAGAAATGCAAATGGCCAACAGGCACATGAAAAAATGCCCCACATCTCCAATCAGTATGGAAATGCAAATGAATACAGCAATGAGATATAACCTTGATGAGGAAATATACAGAAAGTTTCCAAATCCCTCCCCACCTCCGGGTTTGGTAGGAAGCTAGGAAAGCTAAGAAAGTCAATCAAAGTTTCTGTTAAGGGTTCCAGAATATAAAGGAATCACAAGGTGCTTGGGTGCTTGAGATTGAAACAATGTAACAATGTATTCCCCCACCACCACCAGAGGGACTTAGTGGCATGGAACAGCTTGTTGGTCAGTCACCGAAGCCCATTGGTTTATAATAGGGTATCCAGGTAACCTTTACAGAAATGGATTAAAACATAACTAGCATCTTGCATACACCTATAGTGCCCTAATAGCTCCTACTGCAAGTTTCTGGGTGCTGACTCCCCCCTTAGCTTAGTAGTGAACGTATAAAAGGCATGGCCCTGCTGTACTCAGGGAGATGACACTCCTCTGAGCCCACAGGTGTAAAATAAACCTTCGCCTTCCAGGACCTCTAAGTGCCGTTGGGTTCTTCCATCAGTGATCCAGTCCAGATTTCCTGGTTTTCTGCAACATTTAGTTCCCTGAGAAACCCAACCACGCTGGCCTGTTTTGCCACCAGTTTGGGACAATGGCAGGGCAGTGACGGAATGGGCAGATGCAGGAGAAGGCATGCCCTGCCTGATCTTTCGCCAGTCTTCTGCTGAGCCGCCTTGGAGCAGCCCCCACTCCGCTGTTCCCACAGGACTTGAGGAGGTTTGGCAGGTGAGGACCTGGTTCTGACGTTGGATTATGGTAAGACCTGGGCGCCCTGGACCCAGTCAGACCCACCCGTTGGGGTGCAAGGGGAGCCTGATCACCTCCTGGAGACCTCTGAGAGGACTCACAGGTAGAGATTCCCAGGAATGGAATGTCTAAACACCAGTCAGGCGTGTGTGACTGGGCAGGGCAGCTGAAGACGTTCAGCTGGCCCTGAATCTGTGATTCTCCGGCTTCGCCACAGTCTGAGCGGGCCCTCGTCCGCATTTGCACTCGGTCTCCACGACATAACGGAGACTCAGCTTCGGCTGACCTGGCCCGGGACTTATGCGGGTGCACCTTAGTCAAGGCTGACCAAAGTCTCCACGAGGAGCGTGAACGGACGGGCATCTGATTGGTCTCCTCCTAGAGGAGGCCTCCCTCCCTTGTCTGTCTTTGCGGCATCGTTACATGGACACGTTATGGGATCTGGGGCACAGCAAACCCACAGTTCTTGAAACCATGATCAAAAATTTCAGGAAGGGATTTCAGGGAAATTATGGAGTAAATATGACCCCAGAAAGTTAAGGACCTTGTGTGAATCTGCCTGGCCCACCTTTGATGCAGGGCGGCCTCCTGAGGGAACCCTAGACTCCCAACAGTTGGCCGAGTCTGGAGAGTCATTACTGGGGATCCAGGCCCCCCTGATCAGCTCCCATATACTGACTCCTGGTTAGGAATTGCCCAGACCCTTGCCCCTCGGGTGCCACTCGCTTGCAACAGGCAGGGACAAAGTAGGTTATCCTACAAAAGCTGGTGATCCAGAGGAAGAACCAATATTGCCCCCATCTTATGTGCCCCTAAGGCCGTCAGCACCCAACCCTGGTCCCGGACACTGGGCCACCATCCTCCAGGTCCGGCGGACCCACTCTCCCCTGGACCAGCAGCCAGACTGTGCCCTTGATGCCAGCAGGAGATGAGGGAGCCTAAGAGGCATAATGATGGGACAATCCAACCTGGCCGGTCCATGCTTTACTATCAACCCTTCTAACAGGAAAGCTCAGGCAGACAGGGAGGCTGAAAAGCAAATAAAAAAAAATGGGCAGCCTCCTGGCAGACACCCTAAAGGAAAAGGATGACCAAAAGGCAGAAAAAGCCGGATGCCAAGACGGGGGAAGCACAGGACCCCCCTAGCCAGGGGCCAGTGCGCTTACTGTAAAGAGAAGGGGCATTGGAAGAACGAGTGCACCAACCAAGGCAAAGTCCTGAAGCCCATCTGCTACCAGAAAGAACCCCGCGGGGACAGGCCGCTGGCTCAGCAGGAACAGACTCCGCCAGACAAGGACGCCCGCTCTCACTCTCGGCCCCCTGGAGCCCACGGTCACAATAGAGGTGGGAGGCGGGGGTGAAACATGACTTCTGTGGTCAACACGGGGGCAGAACACCCTCCCAGCAGCCCCCAGCCCCCTTCAGCAGGAGTGCAACTATTCTCAGGGCACCGGGTCATAAGCAGTTCAGCAGCACTTCTGTCAAGTGAACTTGGGGGCCACAAGGTCTGACATGAATTTCTCTGCCTGCCCAAATGCCCCATTCCCCCACTCAGCCAAGGATCCGGGATGAGAAAAACCCCAGACACTGCTACCCGTTACACACTACTTGAGACAGTTCTCATCATGCAATTGGGCACTGAGCCTGCCTCAAAGACTGAAGGATATAAAATCATCTTGAACCTTTGGACACCCGTAACATCTTGGGTGATGTCACAGAAACACTGATAAAAGCAGTGCACACAAGAGTTCCACAACACAATGGAAATGGCTCATACAGGAGGTAGCAGTGGCGGTAGTGCAAGGTGGCCCACACCAGGCAGCCTCTTTTCTCCTGGGACCCACATCAGAGCGGCCTGAGGCACGGCCAGAACCGATTCTGACATGGGCTGTGCCCTGTGTACTACTGCTCTCAGCTGAACAGCAAAGAGAAGCCTGGTTTACAGATGGCAGTACCATGATGGATGGACAATGTCCCATTTGGAAACCTCTCCTTGAGACCAGTAAGACTGGCAGAGGAAGGTAAAAACATACCAGCTCAGAGCTGAACTGCATGCTGTGCTCTTGGCAGTGATGGGAGAACTAAACAATGACAAAAGCCCCGATGTTTGGACTTTTACTGATTCCTGGGCCTTAGCTAATGGCCTGAATGGTCAGGCAGATGGGCAAGAGAAAATGGACTAAAGAATGCTCATATAGGGTACAACTTTATGGAAATCCTCTGGAATTTAAGAGGTGCATTAAAGTAAGGACACATGCATGCCCATCACAAGAACCCCCTCCCAGGATCAGAAGGTAACTGGAACCACCAAGGGGACCTATGGGTGCGTTCCCTTCAAGTGGCCACCTGGGTCCATGAAATGAGAGGACATGTGGGAGCTGCAGCAATACAGACATGTGCTGGATCTAGAAATATACCTCTCGCATAATGCATGGCACAGACATGCCAAGAACTGTTCCACGTATCAAAAAGACAAAGACTGCAGGCGGTTACGGGGAAAATTCCTCAGAGAAAGGCCCCGCACACAGCTGGCAAGTGGGTTACAATGGAACAAGGCCACTTACCCTCAAGGCCATAAATGGGTCCCTCACTGCACTACACACTTATTCCAGAATGGGCTTTTCATACCCAGTGGCAGACACAAATGCTCAAAATATGATTATAGGATTGGAACAAAAGACAAGTGACCAATTAGGACTAGCGAGTACATCTCTTCAGATTAAGGGACATGTTTTCCAGCCCCCAGTTTCCAACAATGGGCCAGGAGGCCTCACATCAGATGGACACACCATGTCCCTTTTCATCATCAGAGTAATGGTTTAAAAGAAAGTCGGAATGGGCAGTTGGAACATTTGCTGTCTAAAACGGCAATAAAGCCAGGAGGGGTGTGTTTACACACCTTCAAGTGTCATCATACTAAACATGAGGCAGTGAAGCGAGGGTCCCCACTGGATATATCAATCTGATTTTCTGGGTGATCTGCAGAAGAGAGCTTGGGGAGGATCCGAGGGTGACTATACAGTTGTTCTCAAATTCACTGTACTTTTCTCCTGCCTGATGCAATGGTCCGAGGTCCACGGCTACATCTGCAGGTACCAGCAGCAGGCAAGTTTGCCAAGCAGGAGTCTATAACCATACCCTTAAACCTCTGTCAGAATTCCCAAGGGACTGAAGGGGTAGGCTGTGCCTTTTCCTCATCTGGCATAATTGGGCCTAACAGTGAATGCAGCTGCATGGCCTAGTGGCCAGTAAGACTAGCTCTGCACCTGGGTAACCATACTTTGCGTAAGGGGAAGTGGAATGCACAGGAGACACTTGCTAGACTAATAATATTGTTGCCAGCAATCCAGACCAGGGAAAGAGTCATACCTAACATCGCTTCCACAGGGGTTCAGAGTCTGGGTAAAAAAAAAGGACAAACGCAGATGAGAAATTATGGCTGAGGATAGTGAAATTAATAATTGGTTATGCAACAAGGGAAATTCAGTATTTTATTAATGCCTTAAGAGAGGATCAGAGCAAGAGAATATGTCTTAGCAAAAGCAAACCAGATGCCCAGAAGGGTGAGGATTTGTTTGCAGAGACCAGCTCTGCTTTTCGAACATGACAAGTTGAGTGACAGCCTGCAAGCCAGTTACATCGATGTGGTACAAACTCTGGCTGTAAGGATTTACAGGACAAATGACATGTCTCTTTAAATGTCTGCACTACACAATGGCTTCATGAAGTGTTAGCTCAATTTGCATTTTTAAATTTTCTGTTGTGTAAATGCTCTGCCAGAAGGAAGTGCTCCGACAGGTGTGACCACTTTGCTATAAGGAATTTGTTTTTGAACATCAAGGGGCAGTGTGAGTGATATCATAGGAATTATGTGGTCATTCAAATGAATATATATTCCCCAGATATATTTGGTCTTCATCCACATTTCCTGAAAACACTGTAGTCTTAAAGGTGAAATGGGTGGCCTGTCACCTTAATGAGTCATTTGGACCACCACCCAATGGTGGGGGCTGGAAGATGAACGAGCCAATACACAACTCACTCAGCTATGCTATGGAATGAAGCCCTAACAAAAGCCCCTGAACAGATCTGTGTGTGGAATCAGAATGCCTTGATGAGCCACTGAGCCAGGTGCCAACCTCCACACGGAAGGAAGCTCTTGGAGAAATTGCCTGTGTATCACCTCATCTGGGTTGTATCCTTTAAACTGGTAACTGTGTTTTCCAAAGCTTTGTGAGTTATTCTAGAAAATTAGGCAAAACCAAGGGGGTCATGGGAATGTCTAATCAGTAGCTGGTAGGTCAGAAGCACAGCTAACTGCCTGGGACTTGAGAATGGCATCCGGACTGGGGAGGTGGAGGACACTATATCATCGAAAATACATCCCTTTCAGACCAACACGAATTACCAAGTCAATTATCTTATCCCTGTTTATTTGAAATCATTTTTATAATACTGTAAGAGTAACCTCTACAAAATTTGGTGCCTTAGAGCTTCCTTATGTAATTCATTCCTGGCTACTTTACATTTTGACTTAAATACTTTCCGACAGTGTCTTACACCTGTAGTGTCTCTCCATTATGAATACTGTCATGTTTTTAAGGTGAATTTCTTGGGCAATGTTATATCCGTATTAACCATGTTGGTATGTTTTCTCTCTACTATGAATTTGCATTTGTACAGTATGTGAGAAACAGTTGACAGCTTTGCCACAGTTTTTAGATTCTTCTCCCTTTGTCTGAAAGCTTTCATGCTCCCTACATGTATAGTTTACACGAAATTCCATCCTACATCTGTGTAAAAATCAAGTTTCTCTCTAGTATGTTTCCTGGTGTGCAGTAAGGCTTGAGAACAGCTTAAAGGCTTTGCCACATTCTTTATATTTGTAAGGTGTCTCTCCGTATGAATTCTCTGATGAAGACTAACTTCTTGGGGACATGAAAACAATTGCTGCATTCTTCACGTTTGTAAGGTTTCTGTCTTGAATGAATTTTCTGACATTTATTAAGGACTGAGGACTGGATAAATGCCTTGTTACATTCCTTACACTTGTAATATTTCACTCCAGTATGAATATTCTTCTATTTATAATTGATGAATTACTGAAGACTTTTCCACATTCTTTATACTTGTAAGGTTCTCTCTACTACAAACTTTCTCATGCACTCTAAGAGTTGAGGAACAAGTAAAGGATTTGCCACATTCATTATATTTGTATGGTTTCTCTCCACAATGAATTCTCTGATGTTAAGGGGAGAGCCCTGCTTAAAGGCTTTGCCACATTCTTTACAACCGTAAAGTTTCTCTCCAGTATGAATTCACTCACGAACATTAAGACCTGAGGAAGACATAAAGACTTGCTGCATTCTTTACACTTGTAAGGTTTCTGTCTTGAATGAATTATCCAGTGCTTCTTAAGGCATGAGGACCACCAAGAGGGTTTTCCACATTCCTTACACTTGTAAGGCTTCTCTCCAGTATGAATTCTTTCATACACAGTAAGACTGGAAGAATAAGTGAAGGATTTCCCACATTCTTTACACTTGTAAGGCTTCTCTCCTGTATGTAGTCTCTGGTGCACAGTAAGACTTGAGGAAGATGTAAAGGAATAGTTGCATTGTTCACATCTGAAAGGTTTCTGTCCAGAATGAAATCTCTGATGTTGATTACGGTGTGAGTCGTGCTTAAAGCCTTTTCCACATTCCTCACACTTTTAAGGTTTCTCTCCAGTATGAATTCTCTCGTGCACAGTAAGACTTGAGGAAGAAGGACCTACTGCACTCTTCACACTTGTAAGGTCTCTATCCAGAATGAATTATCTGATGTTTAGTAAGTTGTGAGCCCCACTTAAAGCATGTGTGATATTTCTCAACCTTTAAGTCTCCTCTCCTGTATAAATTTTGTGATGCACAGATAGACCTGAGAACAATTAAAGAACTTGCTGTATTCTGTGCATTTATAAGGTTTCTGTCCAGAAAGAATTATCTTATGTTCAGCAAGTTGAAAGCCCCATTTAAAGGCTTTGCCACATTCCTTACACTTGTAAGGCTTCCCTCCACTATGAACTCTCTCATGCACTCTGACTTGAGGAACAAGTAAAGAATTTGCCACAGTCACTACACTTGTAAGGATTCTCTCCAGTATGCATTCTCTCATGCACATTTAGCCTTGAGGAATAACTACACCTTTTGCCACATTCTTTACATTTCTAAGGTTTCTCTCCTGTATTAATTCTCTGGTGCACAGTAAGACTTTGGGAAGAAATTGTAAGTCTTGTGGAAGAAATTAAAAGACTTGCTTCATAATTTACACCTGTAAGGTTTCTCTACAGAATGAATTCTCTGATTTCATTTAATATGTGGGGACCAATGAGAGGATTATTCCACATTCCTTCTAATATAAGGCTTCTTTCCACTATGAATCTTCACATGCAAACGAACTGGAGCAATAAGAAAATGATTTGCTGTATTCTTTACACTTCTAACGTTTTTTCAGATATGAGATTTTTGGTGCACAGTAAGGTATGAGGAACAAGTAAAGGATTTGCTGCATTATTTACACTTGTAAGGTACATGTACAGAATGAATTCTCTGATGTCTAGTAAACTGTGACCTCCACTTAAAGAATCTGCCACATTCTTTACACTTGTAGGGATGCTCTCCAGTATGGATTCTCTCATGCACATTGTAACTTGCAGAATAAGTAAAGGATTTGCCACATTCCTTACACTTGTAAGGTTTCTCTCCTGTATGAACTTTTTGGTGCACATGAAGACTTGAGGAATAATAAAAAGACTTGCTGCATTCTTCACATTTGAAAAGTTTCTGTCCAGAATGAATTCTCTTATGTTGATTAAGGTGCGAACCCTGCTTATAGGCTTTGCCACATTCTTTACACTTGTAAGGTTTCTCTCCGGTATGAACTTTTTGGTGCACAGTGAGACTTGAGGAATAAGTAAAGGACTTGCTGCATTCTTTACATCTGTAAGGTTTCTGTCCAGAATGAATCCTCTGATGTTTAATAACACTTGAGTGCCAGTTAAAGGCTTTGCAACATATTTTACATTTGTAAGGCTTCTCTACTGTATGAATTCTGTCAATGCCAGTAAGAATTGAGGAATTAGTGAGTGATTTACTGCATAATTCACATTGGATTGGTTGCTTTCCAGAAGGGATACTCTCATGACTATTTAGAAGAGAAGATTCACTAAAGGCATTCCCATATACTTTACATTTGCAAGCTTTCTCATCAGTGTGAATTCTGTGATGTTTAATCACTTTTGTGAAATGTTCACAAGTTTGGACACAGTCCTTGAAGGCTTGTCCCCATTTGTCACATGGGGAATGGTTTTCTGGAATCTCGTTTCTCTGATGTTCTCTATGGCTTGATCCTCTGTTACAGGTCATTCCAGGTTCCATACATTGGTGTCCTGGCTCTAGAATGTACATACCTTGGCAATTATTTAATAGAGAGCCCTTCCTGACAGCCTGCTTACTTTTACTATACATGCAAGGTTCTTCCTCATTCTCTATATACCGACATTCATTAAGCAATGGTGGGTGGGTAGAGTCTCTCTGATAGTTATCAAAACTGTACGCTTTAGATTGAATGGGAATTACCTGTTCATGGAAGAATAATGAATCCTTCATCAAAGAATTTTCCATTTCAATATACTGACACATTTTCTCATCATTGTATCTTTGGGGTTCAAAATTATGTGACTGAATATCTAGTGCATGGCTGTATTTAAAATGATTGAAGTTATTGTTTGAAACATGGCCTTGCTCAACTTTAAAATTTTCCAAATTTTCTTTCTGAGAAAAGTTATGTTTCAAAACTGGTCGATGACATTTATGCACAGTAACACAATGTTCAGCAATAGTAATTGACTTAAGTTGGGCTTTGCTCCCCGACATGTCCTGATGACCACCCTCACGGAGGGGTCCGTCACGGGAGGCCCTGCCATGAACCTGCACTCCTCCATGACAGCCGCCCTGCCCTTCACACTCCTCCTCACTGTCCCCGTGTGTCCTCCGGTGTAAATGTCTCTGGTCACAGCTCCCGGATCTTTCCAGGGTCACTTTTTGGAATGAGTCTGTTATTGCTTCCTGGGATAACAATCCTTTTTTGTAATGAGAAGAAATTGCTGAAATATATAAGAAGATCAAATTGCCACATAAGAATCAGGTATATTTACTTTAAAAATCTATGTAAAAGTTAGTACTGTACATGTACTGCAGTGAACACTTAGCATCTACAAAGCTGTTTTACACCTCAAAGCAGTAACACTGTTTAGCAAATATAACTAAATTTAAAAGTCACCCTGCTGGGGGTAAATATACACAGATACTCAAGCTTGTAATACTGTTCACTATATTTGAGCAGAAAATACTTTTAATACTGGCATGCTGTTTAATACTCAGGAATCACTCAAGGGATTTATAAGATGATACAATGTGCCATCAACAGCATTCAGTGATGAGCACCACATATACAGTAGTTTTGCAACCGGAAACTGTTTCTATCTGTAAAGAGATTGTTATAAATTCATCATGTTATATGTAATGCTCAGAAACGTACACATGGAAAGCATTCAAAGGGAAACACGAAAAGAACATCACCATAGAAAAACCACTAAACACAGACAGGACAGACAGACAAACACGTGGAGGAGATGCCTCGCAGACACACAGAAGAGCTTTTAGAGACACAACGGGCTTGCTTCCCTTCCCCTTCAGTGACTGAGTGCACAGGGACTAAACTCACTTGGAAAAGATGAAGAGAGGCTGTGTGGGTGACGAAGACCAGGTCCGACTGCAGGACACTCACTCTAGATCTAGAAACACACGGAGGCTGACAGTGACAAAGATGGAAAATGATATTCAATACAAAAGGTGACCACAAGATAGCACGAGTAGCCATTTCAGTTACAATGGACTTTGGAAAAACGGGACACAAATATAGTCATAATATAATGATCAATAAGAGGTACAAGAAGGCATCCAAATTATATGTACTTCTGCAGCCAGGATCAGAGCTCGTACTTAAAGGAAATGAACAGGGACAGAATTAAGGAAATGGGAACAAAATACTAAGAGGAAAATTCAATATCCCACCTCTAGTGGAAAAACACGTGCACAAGGCCCACAGACACATGAAAAGACGCCATAAGTCACCAGGACTATCATCTCACACCAATCATAATGGCTAACATCAAAGATACAAGACATAACTAGTGTTGCTGAAAGGAAGCCTCCTATGCTTCGTATGGAATTGTAAATTGGTGTACTCACCATAGGAAGTAGTTATGGAGATTTCTCAAAAACCAAAGACAGAAAGCAATGAACAGCAGTTCCACTACTGGGAATCTACAGAGCATATCGCCCAATTTAAAAGATATATAGACCTGTTGGTTGACTGCAACATCATTTACAATAACCAAGCTATAGAGGGAACGTATGTCTATCAATACATGAATGGATAAACATGTGGTATATTTATAATGGAATCTTACTCAGCTATGAAAAAGAAAGCACTATTGCCATTTGCAATAACACTAATGGACAAAGAGGACATTACAGTAATATGTCAGAGAAAGACAATTAGGATTTCACTTGTATGTGCCACAAAAGAAACAAAACAGAAATAGACACAAGAACAGACAGGAGACTGTTGGTATCCTTTGTGGGGGGTGAAGGGCATGTGTATGGGTGAAAGAGGGGAAGGGATGGAGAGGTAGAAACTTCAAATGTAAAATACTACACCATTCCTGACCACAATGGATGGAAAATGGAAGTCAAAAAAATGGCAATGAGATAACTACACACTCTTACACCACCAACTACCAAAGATAACAAGAGCACAGAAAATTAGACCAGATCTCAACATAAATGAAACCAAAGACACAGCATACAGGAACATACGGGACAGAGGGAAACCAATATTAAACAGGGAAATGTATAGCGATGGGTGCTTATATTAAATGAAGAACATCTCAAATCAACAACCACAACTCACACATTGGGAACTTCATAAAGAATTAACAGCTAAGTCCAAATTTACCACAAAAAAAAAATTAGGGAAGAACTAAATGAAATAGAAAATAGGAAATAAATAGGAAGAAAAAAATAATGGAGTAGTGGATCCCTGAGAAAAATTTTTAACAAAATGCTGACAATAATGTTGCTCATGTAATTGTAGATTAATGATAACAAAAAAAATGCTGAAAATCCTAATATAATTTAACAAAAATAAACTGAAAAGACTCAACCGAAATCAAAGGTTAAACATGAGATAATACAAGTGATGCAATAAAAATGGACGATGGAGATTGTTTTAAGAAAAACCATGTCAAAACACTGGGCACGTGGAACAAATAGGTAAGTTTCAAAAACAATGTCCCAACACTGAAATCTTTTTTTTAATTCTACAGATAAGTAGGATCTGAATATATGAATATACCAGAAAAAGAGATCAAAAGCAGTGCCCGAAGTTCCCAAAGGAGCCCTTCTGCAGTGTACCTTTCTCGTACAAATTCCTTGCTTCCCTGCACAGGGCGACACTTTTTCTGGTTGCTGCTCCATCTGTGCTCCCCAAGTGGCAATTCCAAGACCCCAGATAAGACCCTGTTCTTTCTCAGTTTTTCCTGCTGCTTCTCTGTCAATGTGGCTTTCAGGACTGAACATGGGGTGAACATACTCTATGCCCCTGAACTCGGGAAGTACCACGAACCTAGGCTGAAGGACACAGGTCGCTGCAGAGAGGGGAGGTCAAAGTCAAAATACATCAGGAAAATTGTCTCTACACCAATAAATCCCCATAAGTTTGGATCAGGAATGCTGGAATGAAGCTCTTTTCCTCACCCACAGAGACCAGGTTGCTGTAGTTCTCCTGCATCACGCTCCTGTACAAGGCCCGCTGGGCAGGCGCCAGGCATTCCCACTCCTCCTGTGAGAACCGGACGGCCACATCCCCGAAGGTCAACAGCTCCTGATTTGTGAAAAACAAACAAAAATATCCATGTTTCCCATGAGGCTATGAACAGAGCTCATAATATGACCCACAATGAAGAGTGGAAGGGAAGAGAACCGGTTTGGGCCTCGCTGAGTGACCCGCATCATTTTTAACACAAACAATACTCAATAACGCTCCCCTGATGCTGAGCAGATGAGGTGAACCCACAAAACCACTATAGACACTAGAATTATATGGAAAATAAAATATGTAATTGAAGAATCAATACAGGCATGTGTATTTTTAAGTACTAAATTCATAGCTTACCTGTTGTATGTATTTCTAAAAGGCAAAGTCATGGTGAGGTATCAAGTTGCTAGAACAATGAATTTGTAGAACAAATGTGTAGAACAAATTTAATATGAAGTACAATTAAGATCTCCGGATATTTAAAGTACACCTGATTTTAAAATGCAGATAATGATTCAGGGGTATCGGGCTAGGTCCTCAGTTCCCGCATTTTCAACAGGCTCACCAGTGATGCTAAGGAAACTCCCTATACGGACACATTTTTTAATTATAAAACAGTGACATACCATGGGAAAATATTCCGGGGTGGCTTTGAACTAAGCTTGATGGCAAACACAGTCTCGTAAATCATACCAGAAGGGCATTTGGAACATTAAAACATTCGGCAGAGCAAGCGAGCAGCCCATTCAGAACATGTACCGTATGCCAGATATTCCAAACACAGCTTTCCACGACCTGATGCATGACACACAAAACAATCCAGGAGAACAGATTCATTTTCCCTCATTTATGAGGACATTTTTAAAATTTCCAGTAAACAGCAGAGCCTGGCTTTTAACCCACTCTGTCTAACCCAGCAGGTATCCAGGGGAACACACAGGTGACCTTCCAAACACCCCCAAAGGGGGCCCACAGCCGTTCCCTCCCGAGGAGAGGAGCTGAGACCAATGACCTGAGCAGCACAGACCTGATCGGGGACTTGCATTTTACACACACATTCATATATTAAAATGCAATTACACACGTTAAGACTAAGTTGAAAATTTTATTGACAGAAAATAGTTTCATTTGCATACCATTAATCATTTATGAACGATGCTTTTTCTGGCTTTAAATACACCATGGAAGCCCACATATATGATAAAAACTAAAAAGCTATTTTTTTCCAGTCTTCCATTTCCTTGAAATTTTTGGCTACATTTATCATAGGTATGGAGTCATGTTTTAAATTTTAAAAGATATTAAATATATGGTTCCTGTTTTCTCTTTCTGAAAATGCATAAAGTAACAAGGAGCAGGTCTGTGGCGGGAGTGGGGAATGAAAGGCAAACCCACAGGCCAGGCTGCCTGACGGAACCCTCCACCTGCACAGCCCAGAGCCTCTGGGGGCGCAGGAGACGCCCTGCACTGTACAGAGCAAACCACATGCCCTAGGGAACTGAGAAGGACAGGAAGGTTCTAGACTCAGTGAGGGAGTCTGTGAGCATCTCTCAGCAAATTCCCGAGACCCTTCATGCTAACTGGCAAGTCACTAACGGGGGGCAGCCCCGAGCCTCGGAGCCATGGGAACAGACGGGAACATCTGACATAACGGCACAGACTGCCATTAGCTGCCTGACGCCCACAGGTCACACCACAGCTGTGATACTGTGGCCAAAATGGAAAAGAAATGAGTCGATCGTAATTTGAATCCAATTATGAGAAAACAACAGTGATGGATGTTATATAAAAGATTAAAATATAAGCGACATGCACAAAATTGTATCTTCGGAGCATGACATCTTGTGTATTTTATGAACTGCAAGTGTTTCTGAATTGATTATTAGACTATTTTTAAACCAAATATATTATCGCAAGATCCATTCAATACTATCAGGTATAGTATGAAACTGTCAGAAAGTCACCTTTTAAATACATAGTCTCCCTACCTTCAGGAGGGAAAACAGACCCAAATCTACAGGCCACTGGTATTTTCAAGTATGACCACAACTAGTGTCTCCATCAATTGTGTCCTATGCCCAGAGCTCGAAGATATTTTTCTAGTGTGGCAGTTGTGACTCAAATGCACTCATTCTGCACAGGATGAGATGATCCAAACAGATCCATCCTGCTCTTCATCACAAGCACGAACGGGTTGTAAGCACTAAGTGAGGAATCATGACATTTAGTCTGTGATTCCAGTAAGGTATCTGGACAAGCAGATCCGTCATGATGCCGGGGTTCTTGTTCCTGGAGCCGAAGAATATGACCTTCGCACTCAAGGTGGGAGGGCCAGGGAGAGGCTTTTATTTAGAGATAAAGTGAGAGGACACAGCTCCTGGCTCTTACCAGGAGGGGACAAGAGCATCCGTGGTTGGCTCATTGTCTCGGGGATTTATAGTCGGTTGAGGATTTTTAGGAATGGGGGTAAAGGGCTAGAGGTGCAAATATATACAATGCTCATTTTTGATGAGTGGAAGAAATTTGCTGCTCTGATTCTTTCTCAGGACAGCAGTTTCCCTCTGGGAAGGTATGTTAAGATTGCCTGCGCTGCCCCCAAGGTGGGAGGGGTGGGGGCTGTCTGTTTGCTAGACTGTGCTGAGAATCTTACTTCTTAACTTTTGGGCTGCTTATAGTTGGGCTTGCTTACTAAATTAATCTTTTTCCTAGCTCGCAGATTACTTGATTAGGATTAGAGAAGAAAACACAGCACACAGGTACAGTTGAAAATAAGCTGGGCCTTTTAGAAGCTTAAGGTAAATTTTAGAGTGTCACGTTCTAACTGATTATGCTAAGATACTTTCCTTCATCTGCAGAACACTCAGATATCCCAGAGCAAGTGGCTCCGGGCCTTTGGAGCTTTAACTGATTTCACTGAAGACTGTCTATATTCCTAGTCTGGTATCTTTACCCTAGAGTTTAAGAGTGACTCTGACTTTGTGTAATGCTGAACACAAGAGTTTCGACAGCGACTTCTTTGCACATTGCTACAAAGTTCAGACAGTAATTATCTTGCTTTGCTTTTTCCGGAGGCCCTCATACTACTCTGCCTAAAACCACGGTCCCGTCTCAATCTCAGCACTACAGTCCTTTCTGCTCACCTTAAAAATCAGGCTAACCTACCACATTGATTAAACACGAAACTATCATTTTCAATGACAGGAACTTACACGAGGAGCCATCTCAATGGGTGTGAGGTGAGGGACCCCACCTGACTTGTTAGCTCAGATGACACTTCTGCAATTATTCCTCCTTCCTGCGTGGCTCTGATACTGGACTGAGTTCACACCCGGGAGCATCACTTCCTTCCAAGACGATCACTGACCCAGACTGACAGCCCTGCTCTCATCACAGACCCTGCCTCTCCAGCAGAAATACAAAACAGCCCCTCCTCCCTGTTGTGGGGACGCCCAGCTCCTGGGAAGGGCAGGTGGCCAGGGCGAATGCAGAGACAGGCCTCAGAGAACCTGTGACCTCACCGCCCCTTCCCCTACAGCAGCTAAAGGCAGCGCGGGCTTGGGGGGGACACCTTCTGAGAGCCTTTTTCAGTTGCTAATTACGAGGAAATCAACAATCATGATGAGCTTGAAGGGAGTTTCTCCACGGGGCCCTTTGGAGTGTTTGTGACCCTTTCTACAGGATCCTGCAGGAGGACACACCTGAAAGTGACACGTGCGAGGACAGTCGTGGCAAACCAGCCACAAAGGGAGGACAGTGAGCGCTGAGCAGAGGGGCGGGAGGCAGCAGGCGGGTCTCACGGCCCCGCCCAGAACCTCCAGGAGGAGTCACGTGACCGAGCAAAGGGGTGCTTCCTCACCTTCAGGCTTCTGAGCTGCTCCTACATTGAGTTATGAGCGAGGTCCCGGGAGGGGTCTTTCTCCCCCCCCTCCACACCCTCGGACAAGGACACAAAGCGAGGAGGGACAGGAGAGAGAGTCACTGAGCAAGGGGACTATCTGAACGCTCGGTTTTACAGGAAGTGGGAGGGCGGGGTTAGCAGGTTCAGATCAGCTCACTGCTCGGGTTCTATGCAGGCTCTGACTCTAGTGCAGACAGGAAAACCCACAGGGGCGGCTGTGTGTGTGTGTGGAATTCTACTGATTAAGTGAAAGGGCAAAGGTCATTCTCACCCAAGTCTTGGTGTCATTTGCTCAGATGTCAGCTTCGGGATTTCCCAGCTCTGTTCTCCTTTTCCCTTTAGGCAAAGGGTAGGTATAAGCCCACCTAGGAAGGATATTGGCTTCCAAGTCTCCCTTCTCTGCTGCTTGTATCTTGCTAACCGCCTACTCTAACCAGCAGACAACTGAACCTCCTGAGCAGGATTTTCAGAGAGATTCCAGTAGGAGGAAGAACAGCTACCAGTAGTTTACACTAGTTCAGTGGACTGATTTACACAACCCAGCTTCACTTAAATTTGACTCATCTGCACAATTCAGTGCCAACAGGTACAGATATTTTGTAACAAGTAAACATAAGCAAATGCTGACACCCCACTCATGATCAGAAGTAGGAACAGAAAAGTGTCCAGAGGGGGAAAAACACAAATAAGGATGAAGGTCAACTCTAAACGAGATTTTGTTCTACTTTTAACTGTCAGAGAAGCCAGTGCAACTTAATTCACGAGCACTGGATGATGACCACAGTTCTCCAAATCTGTATTTTTTCCCCCAGAATTCAGAGCAATAATCCCTGGTTGCAATTCCTGCTGACCAGGGTTCAGGCATT